AGTGATAGTTAAGCAGCTGCTCAGTGAATACACTTGCGAATACTTCATGAGTGCATAAGCACCTAGGCACTCACAAGTGCACTTGTTAATAACTACCCAAATACAACTAATAATGCCATTTAATGCACTCATGAATACACTTATAAATACATCAATTACTTTGTGCGTCGCTAATAATACCATTTGAATGCATGCCTGGGCTCATGAATGCACTCATTAATGACAAGCCATACTCAAAATATAAATCGAAGCAAGCGCAAATGACAAGTCGCCTGCATTTCGAATGCACTCACTCTCACACACTCAATCATTCGTTCATTCGTTGTGAGTTATTATTGCATTTTTCTCGAACATTTTTGCCAGCGTTTTCATGCGCTTTGTTGCCTTTTGTTGCAAATTGCCAACTTGGGCATTGCGAGTTGCCAGCAGCAAAAGCAACTGCAACGGCAACGTCAACGGCAATAATAAAGAATACTACAAAAGCTTTGGCGTCAAAGCTCTGGGGTGCACTTGGCAGACTTTAAGCCACAGCCACAGCCGCAACCCAACCCAATTTCTATCCCCCCCCCCCCGCCAACGTCAGCAACACTTGAAACAATCAAAAATCAATGGCAAACGAAGAGCAGAAAAAAAAAAAAAGAAAATGTTAAATGCAAAAAAAAGCAGTACATTGAGACGACAAAAACGACGCTGCGGCGGCTACGGATGCCGCTGCTCTTTACTCATTTGTCTTTTGGCTTTTTGGAAATTAACAACACACGCCCCCCCCCTGCCGACCCAGCCGCCCACAGTGGCAGCAGTCGACAGCCTCTTTAGCAGACTGCTTGAAAAGTAACCCCGTTTTTATAGCGCCCAAGCCAACTGACTTCATATTCTCTCTCTCTCTCTCTCTCTCAGACTCAGACTCAGACCATCTAACTCTTTCAGACAACCTTTCTCTGTCTTTGACGCTGTCGTTGTATCTATGCGTCCCTTTATATATATATATATATATATATCTATATATATGTATATATTTTTATATTTATATATGTAGACATACACATGTATATATATATTTTAAAATTTTTATGCCCGAATGAATTTTAATTCCTTTGACGGTTGCTTTTGGCTTTGGCAGCTGGCGTGCCTAAAAGGCTGCTATAAAAAATAATATACATCTATATATATTTATATTTATATATACATATTTATATACGTATGCATATGCAGCTTCTTCTTCCCTTAGAGTGATTGTGTGTGTGTGTCTTTGATTGCTTATTGTTAATTTGTATTTGCGTATTGGTCGTTTGAGCTTGTGTGTGTTTGTCTGAGTTCTGAGATGTTTTTACAACTCCTGCGTACACTGATTAAACCCTTTTTTTACCCAGCCCATATGAATGAATGTGAAAATGACACACACACACACACACACACGCACACACATGCAGTGAGCATCTTAATTCCTTTTGGCGTTTTTTGCATCGACCCAAGCAATTCGCCCACCTGCTGCCACATTATGTTCATGCGTGTGTGTGTGTGCTCGTCGTGTGTGTATTCGCCTTGGAGTGTTTGTTATTATTATTATTGTTGTTGTTGTTATTGTAGCTGCTGCTGCTGCTGCTGCTGCTGCTGTTGTCTTGTGCTTTTGTGTGTATGTGTGTGTATTGACTGCTTTGTCAATTGTTCGGGGGCTGCCTGCCTGCTTTGCCAGCCTGCCTGCTTTGCCAGCCTGCCTATCCCATCCTTTCGCCTTCATTCACATGCTTGTCGTCGCTCCGGCTGCCTGGCAATTTTGTTAATTACAAATCGTTTGCTTTTGGCTCTATGCTAATGTCTCCGGCTGGGACATCAACCCCCACCCTTCTCCGCAACACTGCCTCGATCCCCATACGCCTGACTGTCATGTGTATGTGTGTCTATTTTTGCATAACTTACGCAACTTTTTACAATTCTGACAGCTCCCCCAACCCCAACCCCAACCAACCCCACACCCATACACAAATAAAAATAAAAATAAACACAAGGGTTGTTGTTCTATTATATATATATATATATATATATATATTTTATACATGCATATTATATATATGCGTGTACAGTTATAGACTATAAACTGAGTACTTTGCATGCCCCACGCATTTCTTGTGGCTAGCAACAAACCATCGACAATTAACAGTTGCACACCCACACACATACACATACACACACACAACAGTTTGAACTGTCAGTCAATGTCCGAACTGTGCACTCATCTCCCACCCACCTCCACCTCCACCTGGACCAGCTGCCCCCTGCCAAAATTCCCAACTATTCACATTGTTGGAAAAATGTAAATTTTCATAATTTTACAGTCAATACTTTGGGTATGTGTTTGGTTGTTTTTCTGCATCCCCCCCCCCCCTCCACCCCTCTGCTCTGGTAGTAGTTTTTGTTTGATTGCTGCGTAGTTGAAGTCGGACACCTACCCCTCATTTGCCCACTCACCTCACCTCACCTCACCTCACCCGACTCCCCCCTTTTCATTCGTATATGGGCATTCAGTGAGCTACAGAAGAGAAAAGCCACAGGCAGCCAACGAATTGGACAGGCAAAAGTTTTTGGCGCAAAGGGTTGCAAATGATTTTTGAGTTGTGTCGAAAATCCCCAAAAAGTTGATTTATCGTTTTAATAATTCTTCAACAGAGCCAGCTCCTGCTTCTGTTCTTAATATTAAACAAATTTAAATCGAAATGACAAAAATGTCTGTGTGTCTGTGTGTGTGTGTGTGTGTGTGTGTGTGTCTGTGTGTGTGTGTGTGTGTGTGTGTGTGTGTGTGCGCGCTTCAAAAATGCACTCATCTATTAATATTTACCTAAGTGTTGCGCAACGTTGCCAAATTTCAGCTAGCCATGTTGCCAAAAATTGAAATTTCAAGTTTAAGCCTGCAGTTCTAAGGCGTTGTTGTGTCTGTGTCGCAGCCAGTTGATTATTAATGAACTCACGCATATGTGTGTGTGTGTGTGTGTGTGTGTGTGTGTGTAAGTGTGAGTGTGTTTTTTAAGACGCAACAGACAAACAGAGAGCAACACACTCATATGCACAACCCTTGGCATACCCGTACACTTGCGCCGCATGCTAATTGCGTTTATTTAACAAAACAAATTTTTTACATTTTCCACTTTTTGTTTTATTCGGGGGAGGTGACAGGATGGGGTTGTGGGTGACTCAATTGAGTTGGCAATTAGACGTCAGCCAGAAGGGATTTTGCTGTATTGGTCTACATGGGGCATACAACATTTTTATGCAATTAATTTGAGTCGTCGTCGCTGTCGTCTTGTGCTGCTTCTTCTTCTTCTTTTTCTTCTTCCTCTTCTTCTTCTTCTTTTACAAATAGGGGGGTTGTTGTCCTTAGCAGTTTTTACATGTCTCGTATGTTAATGAAAAATCGAACACGCAACCTCAGTCCGCTGCCAACGAGGTGGATGGGGAGATGTCTGTTGCTGCCTTTTGATTGATAATGAAATTAACTGCTTAGCATTTCCAGGCATGACATGTTCCGCGACCTGGTAAAGGTACATATACATATACATATTTATTTATGCTGATGCGTTTTTAATGCCAATTATATATTATTGCATATATGTCTCTCTCTGTGTGTGTGTGTGTGTGTGTGTGTGTTTCCCCTTCTCACTCTCAATGTGTATGGCCAATAATCATAATCTGGCTAGGCGCATTCACATTATTTTATTGATAAAATATATGAGGAAAACAAAAGTTTTACCAATCAACTTTTTCGTTCTTGTTCTTGTTCTTGTTCTTGTTATCGTGTGGATTGCCATACATGTGTATTAACGTGCCACACAAATAACGCAATGACACGCAAATTACCAATTGGCATTATGTTGATTTGAGGCATTCTCAGCTGCTTCTTCTGTTTGTCTTACTTGGGTACAGTCAGCGCCAAGAGTTGCTGTACAAGTTTGTGTTTGACGCTGTCTTTGGCATATGCGTCAATTAAAAACCGCGCCATTAAATTAATTTTAATCACATAATAAGAAATACACACACACGCACACATACACATACACACACATACATGCCACCTGGCTGTCATTAAAAAATTTTGGTGCATACCGCACGGCGCAAAACTTTATCTTGTCAACTTTCGTTGCGGCGCCACGCCTCCTCCCATAGCAGCTACCACGCCCACACCGACACAAGTCGCGCACACGTCGACGCACTTAAGAAAAATTCCCTTGTCAAATTTGCCAATTATCATATTTTCATCAAACAAACAAAGTTCCAAAAACTCAAACGCTCGCTGCAGGCACACACACTCCCCATAATCCCCAGCTCCCCTGTCTGTCTACACATTGAACGTATTGCTGTGCCACGCCCCTTTGCCCCTTCACCCCCTTTTACCTGTATACACCTGTGGCTGTATCTGTGGCCTGTTGCCAGCAGCTTCAGTCGCTTCACTCGCTTCAGCTTCAGCTTCAGTCGCAGGCAATCAGCGACATAGCCGTCGTCCTCGTTGTTAATTTTATTACAAATTATTTTATAACTCTCGAACTTTTACACACAGACAAAGAGACGCGACTTTCCTCCCTTTCAAGCCATGCATTGTTGTTGCTCTTTAAATATTGATGTGTGCAATTACAAAAAAAAACCAAAACAAAAACAAAATCAAAAACAATGAACATGACAGAGTCTCTGTCTGCCAACCACAATGAAAGTGTAGCCGCACAATATGCAACCATAAAGTTTTTCCCACTTGCAACCTATGCAAAAAAATTCGATAATCTGGCAACTACTGATTGTTAATGCCACCGAAACAATTCTGAAAATCAGACACAGCCTGTTCGTTCGTAACAAATCTGAAGTGTATTGAAAAATGTTGTTTGGATGGGCAAATGATTGAAGGGCTTTATTATCGTTGAAGTTTTGATTGATACAAATTATGTTTATTTCTATCTTTATTCATAAAAATGAAATGTCTCTAATTGAATTTATTTTGCATTTGTCTTCATCTATTTTAGATTAAAGCACTTTTGGATGAGTTGCAACGCCTGCGTGGCCTGGAACAAACTCACCTTGTACAAATCCAAAGGCTCGAAGAGCATTTGGAGGTGAAGCGACAGCACATAATGCGTTTGGAGGCACGTTTGGATAAGCAGCAGATAAATGAGGCACTTGCCGAGGCAACTGCATTGGCTGCCGCTGTTAATGCGGCTGCGACAAACAATAACAACAACAACAACAACAACAATAGCAGCAGCAACAACAACAATAACAACAACAATAATCACAGTAGCCAGGCCAGCGAAAACAACAACGACGAGTTGAGCGCGGTTTTTAAATCAACAGATCTAACATCTACCCATCAGCACAATGACGATGAAGACGATGATGATGATAATGATAACGATAATGATAATGATAACCATGCTGAGCTGCGCGATGATGGCGATGATGATGAGGAGGACACGGATATGGCCAACGAGCAGCAGCATGCTGCCATTGGCAACAATCGGCACAACGACGATAACGAAAAGGATGAGGACGATGAGCAGGATGCCGATCTATCCAATGCCACAGCCACAGCGGACAGCAATGAGCTGAAAATCAAAAAGGAACAGCAGTAAGTTAATCCCACAAATTGAACCCCAAACCAAGCTGCTGATAATGGCAGAGATATCTGCCTTACTTCAGCTAATTTGAATCAGAAACTATTATTGCTTGCTGACTAACTATTCCGTATCCAACTCGTTTTTTTGTTTGTTTGTTTCTCCCCTGAAAATAGCAGTCCACTGGATTTGAATGTGCTTAGCCCACATTCGGCGATTGCCACAGCTGCCGCGGCCGCAGCAGCCGCTGCCTGCGCCAACGATCCGAACAAATTCCAAGCTTTGCTCCTGGAACGCACCAAAGCGCTGGCCGCCGAGGCTCTCAAGAATGGCGCCAGCGAGACAGCGAATGCAAGCAGTGATGGTGAGTATATTGGCAGCGGCTATCTGCGCCACCCCCCCTCCTCACCACCAACTCTAGCGGTACATTTCGAATTGTGTTCGCTTCAAATCGATTTCAACTCGGTTCCGGTTCATGCTTCGTTACTTCCTTTTGCTGCGCGCTGCATTGTTTTTGTCGCTTGTTGCAATCGGTTGAACGCTTTGCTTTGTTTGATGGGACGAACGAACCCATCCGCAACTCTGTTATCGGCGCTAACGGGACTGCGGCGCCAATTTTTATGGCTGTCAACAAGCGATCAAAAAAACCAGCGACGATCAGTCGAGGCGAACGTGTGCTTTGTCTCTTCTCTCTTCTCTCCACTCTCTCCTTCTTCTTTGTTCTTCAGTTGTTTCTTTCTTATTTTTTTTCTTTTTTTCTTTTACAATATTTGCATCGAAACGTCTGCGTATGTTGTCGTTGTCGTTGTTGTTGTTGTTGTTGTTGTTGTTGTTTTACACCTTGAGTTGCTCTGCATGTTTATCGATAATTGATATTGACATATCCAAATACACAACACTTGAGAATCAGCACAACAACACGCTTTAATCCTGTCTCTCTCTCTCTCTTTCCGTATCTATCTGTCTCTCTTGTTTGACAAACAAATATTTATCTATATATACATTTGATAAGTATCTATATATTACAACAACCACATTCACACACACACTCACCACACACATGCAGTTTCTTTGTTGTTTTGTTGTACGAATTGGCAAGCGAAAAGTAAAAAGTGCAAAATGTTGGCAAAAAAAAAAAAAATCAAAAAAAATGACAAAAAATTGAAAAGAATTCTAAAACGAATATTTTGATTCATTTGGCGTTTTGTTCCATGGATGTTGTTGAAATCGGTATACCAAATACAAATACTAAATACCATTATATCAAATACAAAAAAAAAAAAACAAAAAAAAAAAAAAAAACAGAAAACCGTATTTTATGATAGACCATTCAAAATAAGTAGCAACAACAAAAAGCACAACTTTTTTGTTGTTTCCCGCAGAAATGCCGCAACAACAAGCAGCAGACGCAGCAACAGCCGCTAATCAAGTAACAGTAGAAGATGATGCAGATGAAGATGAAGATGCAGATGAAGATGCAGATGAAGATGAAGCACAAGAAGCACAAGAAGCAGCAAGAGCAGCAGCCACATCCCAATCCAAATCAGAAACAATCACAAATGCAACGGAAAAGCCTGAAAATGATGCATTGACCGAGGCCAACTTGCAGCCCAAAATCGAAATCATTGACACAGACGATGCTGATGGGGGGCCCGGCACTGAGATTGCCGCTGGCCAAACACTGGAAGAGCAGCTGGTCAATAGCTATTGGAGGCGCGGCTTTGAAACATCAACAGTAGCAGCAACAGCAGCAGCAGCAGCAACGACAACAGCTGCAGCAGCCACTGGGAGCAAAACGCCAACAATTTATCAAAATGCCAATGTGGTGCAGCAGCAACTGTTGCCGCCACCGCCGCCGCCGCTGCCGCCGTCACAACAGCAGCAGCAGCAGCAGCAGCACTTTTCTGCACAGCAACAACAACAACAACAACAACAACAATATCACCAACAGCAACAACAACAACAACAACAGCAGCAGCAACATGGACCCTCGTCCACAGTGCTACTAAGTCAATTGGTTAACTCAACTTTCTTACATGCCAATCACTCCTCTTGTTCCAATTCCAAATCCACACGCCTAGATGCCGCATCCCACCACCAACACCAGCAGCATCAGCCACAGCAGCAGCAGCAGCAGCTGCTTCAACAGCAGCAACATCACCACAACAGCAGCAATAGCAGCAACAGCAGTTCAGCAACCGGCAGCGATCCACTGAATCCACATCATCATCATGCGCACCACCATGGCCATCCACATGGACAGCTGTTGCATGCAGCACATCATCTGCATCACGGCGCCGACTCGAACTCATCCAGCGCCAATAGCACACCCAACAGCACCGCCCAGCTGGCGGCCAGCATTGCCAGCACGCTGAATGGCAACAAGTCACTGTTGCAGGCAGCGGCCGCTGCCAATGTGGCAGCTGTTGCTGCCGTTGCCGAGGATAACAACAACAGCCTGACACCAAATGCGAATGCGGCTGTCGCCGCTGCAGCAATGGCTGCCCATGCACAGCACGCGGCCGCATTGGGTGCACCCAGTTTTCTGCCCAATTTGCCCAGCCTGCCGGCGTTTCAATTTGCGGCCGCCGCTGCCGCTGGCCAGGATCCTCGAGCACAACACTTTCGCTTCGCGGATGCCGAACTGCAAATGCAGCCGGGCGTCTCGATGGCCGGTCGATTGGGTGAATCGCTAATACCCAAAGGTGATCCCATGGAGGCCAAACTGCAGGAGATGCTGCGCTACAACATGGACAAGTATGCGAACCAGGCGCTCGACACACTGCACATCTCGCGACGCGTACGGGAACTGCTCTCCGTGCATAATATCGGGCAGCGGCTGTTTGCCAAATATATTTTGGGACTGTCGCAGGGCACCGTCTCCGAGCTGCTGAGCAAGCCAAAGCCCTGGGATAAGCTAACCGAGAAGGGTCGTGACAGTTACCGCAAGATGCACGCCTGGGCCTGTGATGATAGTGCCGTCATGCTCCTCAAGTCCCTCATCCCCAAGAAAGGTGAGTGCCCTAAAAGTTGTGTTGTTTTTTTGTGTTTTTTGTTTTTTGTTTTTTGTTGTGCTTTGCAGGTGGTTATAGTTTTTTTTAACAGCTTAATTATTGGACAGTTTTCGCAGCGAGCGTTGCCAGACTGTTGAAATACAGCTGACATCTGACAGATGCTGATTGCTATGCGTTCAGCTTGTTGTGGTTGGAAACTAATACGATCTGTTCAGAACAATATCAAAGTTGAGCTTTAAAAGGGGTGTAACTTACTTAACTTGGCCATGATTAAGTCTAGGCTTGAAATCTCGACATTATACGGAAATTTCAAAATATTTACAGTAGTTGGAAGATTTTCATTTGAATGTTTTAATATTTGCCATTGTTTTCACCATTTTCGAGTTTACTTTTTGGGATTTGTCAATTGAATTTCATTGTATTGCTTTGTAATTTCACCTACACTGTAAATAATTTGAAGCTGAAACACTTGAAATAAAAACACAGTGTAATTGATTCCCCATTTCCAAATCGTCTTTGCTCATTTTTATTTTTTTGTTTTGGTTGCTTTCGTGTTTTCATTTTTATTATTAAGATTTGCTTCTTTTTTTTTGTTGTTTTTTTCTGTTTTTTTGGTCATTTCATTTTGTTTTTTTGGACAGCGGCCAAAACATTAAAATGTGAAATTTTAATTATTTTTGATTTTTGCGTATAATCAACGTGCTAACAAGCAGCAACGATGGCGACGACTTGATGCATTTCATGCAACCATTTCGCTTGTCATCATAAATTTTGGCAAATTCGCACATTAGGCGTGAAATTCAACTGTATAACCCAAAACGAGGCTCGGAATCAGTCGTCAGTCGGTCGTTTTATGTATTTTCTTTTTTTATTTATACCATTTTTTTGGCTGTTGTTTCTTGTTTTTTTTTTTTGCGAGCCAAGTCAGATCTTTGCTTCGCAACTTACCCCATATGTTTATAAATCGAAGCTGTTTTGGTTCCGTTCCAAGCTGTGATATTTGTTTGTTTTTGTTGTCTTGGTTAAGTTTATTGATTAGTCATCAATTTGAATGGAGCCGCAGCAAAAGTAATAGCAGTAGCAGCAGCAGCAGCAACAGCAACAACAACTAAATAAGGCACAACTATGCCAGACAGGGCTACAAATATGTCAATGCAAAAGTATTTTTAAAGTACGAACTGTGGCACAGACACGCACCAAGCCCCCAACCAACCAACCAAGCCCCCAACCAACTCGGCAAAGTTAATCAAAGTTTTACTGTCGCCCTCTGTGTTTGCCCAATGCACATGTGTGTGCGTGTGTGTGATGTGTGTGTGTGCGTGTGTGTGTGTGTGTGTCTAAGTGCATGCAAATGTTGACAATTAATTTATGACGATTACTCATGGCAGCTAAACTAACTGTTTATATACTTATTTATGCATGTTGACTGCAAAGCGCTGCAATTTTTGTTCTTAATGCGATTGAATGTGCTTAGTGACCCCACAAAACACCACGCTAATACCATTCCCCCTTCCCCTTCCCCTTCCCCTCCCACTACCCTTCACACCCTTCAGCAGCAAGTCGGTGCTCTGTCAGTTGTCAGTTAATTATAAGCAAATAGGCAGTTTGTAGAGGCAGGCATCACAAGCAGCTTGGCCAAGACTTGACGCCGCTGCAAGAAACAGTTGCCTAACGCAGGGCGCAAATACATAATAATAATTATAAAAATAACAATTATAATAATAATAATAATTATATTAGAAATGCAACAAAACATCTAACTTTGAAGTCACTTTGTAGGCTGCAAAGTTGACGAGCAAAGCGCGTCAATGATTTTTGAATTGTAATTGTTTAAAGAACGAGTTGGAATGGAATAGATTCGGTTGGGGGCGACGCGACGACTGCCCTAACAATTGGTCGGTGAAAGGCTTGAAACAAAATACATGTACAATAAAATGGAAAATAAAACAACAATTTAAAAAAGAAAAACAACAACAGCAGCAGCAGCAGCAGCGGCAACAGCGGCAAACGTGAAGTAGAATTAAATGTAAACAACGACAACAGCAACAACAACAGCAACAACAACAGCAACAACAACAGCAACAACAACAGCAATAACAGCAACAACAACAAACAACAATGCAATGCAACTGCTGCCTTCAACGAGGCATGCAAAACGTTGACGTGCCGCGCGTTTGAAGTCGTCTTTGTGCTGGACAAAGTGCGGCAGCTGACTGGTGACCAAAGGGGGCGTTGGGAGTTGCAATGCGGAGTTGCGCCAAGGGCGACTGCCTAACGATTGGTAGCCGTTGTAAGCCACGCATTTGGTTTGGGTTACTTGCTCGTCTATGGGGTGCCAAGAGAGAAGGAGCAGGAGCGTGAGAGAGGGGGAGAGGGAGCGAGGGAGCGAGAGAGTATGAGTACCAAGCGCCTAGTTGACGCAAAACTTTTCACGTTTTTGGTTTGTTTTGCCGTTGATTTTGCTTGTTGTTGTCGTTGCTGTTGTTGTTGTTGTTGTTGTTGTTGTTGTTAAACATTTAACGACAATTGTTGCATATTAAACGGCGCACAGGCAAAGTGAGTGGAAAATTGTTGGGGGCACAACTATTGAAAAGTTGTAAAAAACTTTTCAAATGCGAATGAATTCAAAAAAAAAAAAAAAAAAGCCGATAAATGTTATCAAACATAAATTCTAATACGAAAATACAACTCTCAATTTATAAAGTAAACAATTTCAAAACTTATAAAGTGTCAAAGTTGTGGCATTAAATCTAGCTTGCATTAAACCAAAGCTTTAATAACACAAAAATGCAGAAGATCTGTGACTAAAAGTCACTTTTGTTGTACGAGTATGCCATCTTTTAACAATATAGCTGATATTGATTGATACCATCAGCATTTGAGCCATACAACCACTGAAAGTTGATAATGCCTTACCACAACATACAAACAGGGAAAAGGGAAATGGAGAGGGTTGAAAGGGTAAGCGATTGAAAGGGTTGGGGGATGCAGTAGAGTTCAACCGAGTGCCAAATTCAAACTACGCTTAGCATGGCAAAGGCAAAACATGTAAAAAGTAGAAAAACAGTGGAGTTGGGTTGGGTTGGGTTGGTTGAAAATAAAAGCTCGACGTCATTTTAGCTCCGTCAGACGCGTCGTATACGTAATGACAAATATTTGTATATGTTGACGGCAGTGGTAGCAGCAGTAGCAGCAAATGTAGCCGAGCCAACTCGTTATGGCAGCTAATAATACTAGCATATTAACACATAATTTTAGCAGACATCGTCTATTTGTTTTAGCCAACCGGTCGCTGACGCAGCAGCGGCAGCAGCGGCAGCAACGGCAGCAACGGCGTCGGCAGCAGCGGCAGCAGCCATAAAGTCGGGCGAAAAGTGCGTGGCCCAAAATAGAAAAGCACGCGGCCAAGAAGACAAAAGAAAACAAGTCAAACACAAAACGCAAGAGGTGTGCAGAGGGCAGTTTTCGTAGTATATGTTGTAGTAGTTTGGCGGTGGGCAGGGAGGGCGGAGGGGCTCCTTAACAGATCGGAGAGGTAGAGACAAAGGCATTCCAAATGCCAAACAGACAGACGACAAAACATTGCCTGGCACTTTTATTTGCCGCCGTTTCACAAATTATTTGTCACCAGCCATAAAGCGAAATATGTGCCTCACATATACATGAATACAGATACACACACGCACAACACACACACGCACACACACACACGCACAACACACACATGTAGAGAAAGACTGCCTGACTAAGTGGCCAACGGGCCGTATCAATTCCTGCGCTTTTTGGCCTCATATTTAAGTATTTTTCTTTAGACATTTTCTATTTTTCGTTTTTGATTGTAATTTAATTTATTTGATTTTATGAAAATTGCGGAATGTGCTTAGCATAACAATGGGGCGTGGCCCAGATGCTTGGCGAACAACACAAAAATATAACGAACATAAATTAGCATAAAACTCGTTCAACAATTTTTATGAAATGTGATTTTAAATTTAATCGCATACATTTGAATATTCCGCAATGATCGCCAATGGGTTAAAATGGGTCCACACCCACCCCACCCGTCCCCCTTTTTCATACTGAATTCAGTGAAATGAATGTGAATTAATCATTTATGAAACTTTTGAATTAAACCAAAAAACCCTTGCAAAAAAATATATGTTTGAATTGTGTGAATGAAGACAGATTCAATATACAATATATGAGGCATGCAACTAAAATTCACTTTGCTTTATCATATAGCATTTAATTGAATTTATTTAAATATCGAAAATATACAGTTGTTGTTGGTTAGGCATAAATGTATTTATAAACATATATGAATACATAGATAAATTGTGTATATAGGAGAAATGTATGCGGTTTATATTGCCCTCATGTTAACCGACATGGCATGCCACTGGGCCACATAGACAAGGCAAAAGTTTGTCTTCGACATTTTACCATCATGCCGCAAAATGTTGCAGATGTCCCGCGCGCTCGCGTTGCACTTTCGCAACTTTTATTTCCCTCCCTTGTTTTTATTATTTTTTCATTTATAATTTCTTGTGTTGCTTGGGCTAATTACTTTGTAATGAACTTTGACAACAATACAATACAAAAAAAAAAACAAAAAAAAAAGGATATATTGTCTGGGAGATACCCTGTACACAAGTCCTACTTAAGGTCTGTTAATGCTGTTCACAGAAAACCGGCTTTATTCTTTCTGTTTCACACATTCCGACACAACTTCGGAATGAAGTTGAATGGGTTCAGTGCATACAAAAAAAATGAAAGCAGAGAGAATGAAAAGGAATATAGAACTTGCAAATTACCTTGAGCCAGCTCAAATATCTAGTCATATTTTTGCGCTTAATTGCAAGGCAATAACAACCCAACCCTCTTCACTGATTTGACTGGAATTGGAATTGGAATGGGAATGGGAATGGGAAAATTGGCGCTTCTGCTGTTTGATGTTGTTCACTGCTGTTGTTCCTGTTGATGAGTCAATGCAATGCCACTTAAAAAAATGCCACCGCCACCCACAAGCCCACCAGCCAACACAGCAGCCACCCACTTCATTTGCCATGCTACGTTTGCCCTCAGCTCAGTTAGAAGCAAGCAGTTGAAGCAGCTGCTCCTCAAGTAGGTGTCTCTGTGTCTCTGTGTCTGAGTTTCTGCCTTCATTTTTAATTGACACTTCTGCTAATACCGCCCCAGAACAACAAACACATACACACATTGAACAACAAATGACTGGCATTTTAATTAGAAAATTTTTCTTGCAATTAATGCAAATTGCGTGCGTGTGCCAATTTCAATGCGCCAGTTCAATTGTGGCAACAAACCACCCAAACAAACCCTCGCATCCTACACCTGCTTGTAAGCCCTTCCTTTTTTTTTTGCTGCTGAAGTATGATTACATATTTGTGTGCTGGCAAATATTTATTGTATTAGGAAAAACTCCACTGGAAAACTCAACAAAAGCAAAAAAGACAAAAACAAAAAAAAAAACACAGTCGAATGAGCAGGGAAAAGCAGTTGGGGGGAGGAGGGGCTATGGGGTGCCAGGGTGCCAGGGCGCTGGGCACTCATCGTGTCAGGCGGGGAATATTCGTCTGATTTGTTATAAAAGGCAAATATTCATCAAGCAAATTGTGGCACTGGTGGTGGGCTAGTAGTGCTGTGAGTTCTGCCAAATATATGTATCTTTTATGCATATATATAAATATATATATATATATATATATATATACATGATAGCCATGATATCCATATTTTTATAACAGCCAACGGTCGCGCAAAATCCATATCCTTTTGAATGACAATTTGGTCAACATGTTCCTCTCTAATAAATTACAAACAACACACAAAGCAAAAAAAAAAAACAGTCAAATGAACAGCGCAGACAAAAAGTAACTAACATTAACACAAAGCGAGTGGCAGCGTTGCAGTCGGCCATAACCAACTGATCAATACTCTGCAACTAGTCTAATACCAGCTGGAAACAGGTGTTTAGTGGGCGTGGCCAAGATAGAAGATTGATAAGTCATTCCATTCAAAGTTGGTGTCTCTAGCTTTCAGTTATGGCAACCGATAGATAAAACCAATATGCTTTATCACCTTTGGGATCAGAGTATAAAACAAGAGCCAAACAAAGAAATAAAAAAATAAACGACAAATATTCAAATACCCAAATATATATGTATATATAAGCATATTTATATATGTACATATGTATCCATGTAGGATGACGACGGGGCAGATATGCGATTGGGGTTTGGGCATTGCGTTATTTAAAAGTCGCTTCTGTCTGCAAATCTGTCGCTCTGTTGGCCAAATGTAACCAACGCCACGTGAACAGCTTAAAAATATACCTTTTTTTGTTGTTGTTATTGTTGTTGTAATATTCCTTAAAACATGTTTGAAACTCACTTTTGGTTAGCAAATGTGCATATTTAATTCGTTTAGATTCTTTCAAAATAGAATCGTCATATTTACTTAAACTTATTTGGTTGATTTAAGCGTCTTTGTTAGTTATATTTTCAAAATATTACAGTTTCCAGGTCGTATTAATTAAAATTAAAAAAAAATCAGACTCATTCGTAAGCTAAGCTTTAAGAGCAACTTACTTATTATTTTTAAAGGCCAAATCCAAAGCAATCGAAAAGTTTATCGATCGTTAAGGTTGAGAGTGCATTGCCCTGCCCTGTCTTAACTCGACTCCACTCCACATCCGTTCTACATTTCCATTTTCAGTTTCAGATTCAGTTTCATTTTCAGTTCCAGTTGCTACCATCTCCGTCTAAAGAGCGCTTAAGCTGTCTGTGTCTGTGTCTGTGTCGCATTTCCTCTGTCCTCCGTCCTCTGTCCTCTGTCTGTCCCGGCGTGGGGTCAGCCAGGTGTCATCAATGTCATCTTCGACTTTATAACACAAAAACACTTTGTAATCCCCAAATGAAGCGACGACGATGACGACGACGACGACAAAGAGCTAAACTAACCAAAACCAAAAAAAAAAAAAACAATTTTTTAGAAGACCTTAAAAAAACAATATTTGAAAAAAATTGCAAAAATCATATGAGGTAAAGCAAAAACAACACACAAAAAAAATACAGAGATGTAAAATCCAAAACGTTGGCCACAGGATATTTCATGCGGCATGCGGCAAGTAGCATGTGGAGTGTGGCGTGTGGCGTGTGGTGGGGCATGTGTCGTCACTCTGCAAAACGTTACGATCTATTGTAGTTGGCCCCTTTATCGCCTTTTATCCAGCTCGAAGGCAGTCGCCATTCGAGCTTTATTGTATTGTCAATGGGAACACTTTTCAATTCGCCAAAAATCTCTCGCTTCAATTGGCAACGTTTGGCGACCAAACATTTGTCATTCATGTGTTGATTTCCGTTTCCTGTGTTGGCAACTGATACCGCATTGCCCATACCGCATACTCCTGCAACTAGTCGGTTGATGCTATGTGCTGGACAAGTGTTTGCTCCTTTGGGGCATCGATTATGCTTTGGCAATTGTAAAGCGATTTTCAGTTATTTCGTTGCGTTGCCACGCCACCACCCTGTAGAGCGCCCAATTGCGCTGATTGATGTTTGTTGGCTCGCAGCCACAAACATGCCGCAGGACACAATGAGGACGGTGGCAAAGAGCTCAACCACTTGTGCGATTTTTACAATTTGGCAGTCGATTCTTTTTCGATATTTGTTTTTTTTTTGTTTTATGTTTTTGTTTTATGTATTCTTTCAGCGACATTTAACGAGTGGAACGAAAAACCTTCATTTCAATTGAATTTGTGCAAAGAATTGTGTTGTTTTTGTTTTTGTTTTTGTTATTGTTATTGTTGCTCTTGTTTTCTGTACTCCATGGACATTTTCAATTGCAATTGAATTCACATTCATTTCGACTCGACTCGTTTCGTTTCGTTCATTCAAACTGCTGGCTCTGCTCCGATGAGCATTTGGCTCCATATTCTCCATCTATATGGCATCCCCCTTAACCAGCTTCCAGTTAGCTTCTCTACCCACTTTTTGGTGCCGTGGCGCGTGCCAAATTAGCGCGCCGCATGCATTGAACTATTTAAGGGCCCATCCAGTTTTTTTTATTTTTTTCTTTATTTTTCCATTTTATTTTGTTTGGTTTTTTTGGTTGGACTTATTTGTCTAGCTTTTATTTTATTTGTTGCGTCCGCCCATTGATGTTGTTGCTGTTGCTGCTGTTGCTGTTGTTGCTGTTGTTGCTGTTGCACCTCCACTTTCGCCGGTTCACGGTTCGCTTTGTCTGTGGTCGCCGTTTTGTTGATTGGAAATCAAATGGTGCTATAATTGAGCCCTTTGGACTGGTCAGCAGGGCTGCCACCTAGAGCCGCATGCAGCTAAACGAGTCGGTGGCTTTGAGGCACTGACTCGCAAAAGCTGCTTTTGGAATTTATAATTCACAAAATGTTTATGAAATATATGTACACTGCTCAACAAATATTTGGACATGTTCAACAACAATTTAAAACAAAAAAAAAAAGAAAGAAATTTAACAAAAATATAAATATTATGTAACAATATTTTCCAACTATGTGGCAGCAATGACTGCTGGCATTGTTATTCAATAATAATATGTTGGGCAGCATTTCATCAAGTTTCTTTCTATTTTTTATTCTTTTTCTTTTTTTTTTTTTTGCTATGTTGCTGAGTGTTTTTGCTTAGTGCATGTCGTAGAAATCAAAAGTGCATCGGAGTTGCCTTTTAAATGCTGCTGCTGCGCCGCTTTATGGCCACAAATTTGTGCTGGCTTTTTGAACGCTTTATGGCTTAATTTGCCTGTTGGCTCTGTCGGCCTGTCGACTGGTCTGCCGTGGCCTGTTGGCCACTATGCGTTCGGTGCTTTTTTTGGTTCGCAGATATCAATTGGGCTTCAATAAATGAGCAAAAACCGAATGCGCATAAAGTTTATAACGTTTAATGGGCAAAGCCACTTTACGATCAATATACAATATACAACATACAACATACAACATTAACTCGATACCCTTTTCTATATATGTGTATTCAAGATTCGGGATTGCCACAGTATGCTGGTCGCGGCGCTGGTGGCGATGATTCCATGTCCGAGGATCGCCTTGCACACATACTCAGCGAGGCCTCGTCCCTGATGAAGAGCAGCGCTGTCGCCGCACAGCAGCAGGAGCATCAGCGTCGCCATGTCGTCGACGATACGCACAGCAACGAGGATAGCAAATCGCCACCGCAGAGCTGCAGCTCCCCCTTCTACAAGGACCAGCAGATTAAGCATCTGCAGCCGCAGCAGCAGCAACAGCTGCAGCATGCCACCGAGCATGCACAGCGCGAACAGCGCGAAGCGGCCGCCGCCGTTGTTGCCGTACACCAGCAGCAGCAGCAGCAGCAGCGGGAGCAGCGCGAACAGCGCGAGGCCGCCCAGCGTGAGCAGCAGCAGCGCATTCGTCACGACGAACTGGGACCGGACAAGATGGCGCGTCTCTATCAGGAGCTAATGACGCGCACGCCACGTGAAGCGGCCTTCCCAAGGTGAGTGTTGCACAGATCAAAGAACAGCCAGTTAAATATTCTTCTATATTTTATATAGAAACACAATTGCTGAACCGGTTCAGTGTAATTGAACCCAATAACGCATTTCCATAGACATTTTTTTAAACTTGTTTGCCACTTGCTCACTTGCTCTCTGATTAAACATATATTTTCAACAATTCCATTTTTTGTTTACTGAATATTTAATTTTTCAATACAAGTCAATCGCATTCGAAACATATTAAAACAAACAGATGAACCAGCTGTGCGCCGCAAAAAAAAAGAAAAAAAAGAAAGAAAGAAGAAAAGAGAAGCAAAATAAACATTCTTTAAATGTTGTTTAATTTGTCAGGGATGGATTGATGTATTAGTTACATGTTTATTCTTATTCTGAGCTGATCAATTTTCTTGTTGTCTTTTGTGTATTGCAGCTTTTTGTTGACGCCGTTCTTTGGCGGAGCCGCTGGCATGCCTGGAGCAACCGCCAATCCATTCCCCACAGCAATGGCCGCCGACGAGAATATGCGTCATGTGATCGAACGTGAGATAGCCAAGCTGCAACAGCAGCAGGCAGCCAATTTTCCCAACTTTTCAAGTTTGATGGCACTGCAGCAGCAGGTGCTGAACGGTGCGCAGGATCTATCGCTGGCAAACAAGGATATCAAGTTAAATGGACAGCGCTCATCGCTCGACCAGCACAGTGGCGGCAGCAGCAGCTGCTCCAAGGATGGCGAACGTGGCGACGATAACGACAGAAGCTATCCATCGCTGTCGCACGCGGCTCGCAAATCGGAGGGTGGCAACACACCAGCACCGCCCGCACCATCACTAACACAGACATCGGCGGGCAGTGGCAGCAATTCAAATGCAGCCAACTCAACGGTTGCCAGCGGTCATGGCAGCAACTCGGCGGCACCCAGTCCGCTGAGCAACTCAATACTGCCGCCAGCGCTGAGCAATCAGAGTGAGGAGTTTGCGGCGACGGCGAGTCCACTGCAGCGTATGGCATCGATTACCAATTCCCTGATTACACAGCCGCCTGTGACGCCGCATCATTCGCAGCCGCAGCGGCCAACGAAGGCGGTGCTGCCACCAATCACCCAGCAACAGTTCGATATGTTCAACAATCTGAACACCGAGGATATTGTGAGGCGTGTGAAGGAGGCTCTCTCCCAGTACAGCATCTCGCAGCGTTTATTCGGTGAGTCTGTGTTGGGATTGTCGCAGGGTTCCGTTTCGGATTTGTTGGCACGACCCAAGCCTTGGCATATGCTGACCCAGAAGGGTCGCGAGCCGTTCATACGCATGAAGATGTTCCTCGAGGATGACAATGCGGTGCATAAACTGGTCGCCAGTCAGTATAAGATTGCGCCTGAGAAACTGATGCGCACGGGCAGCTACAGCGGCAGCCCCCAGATGCCCCAAGGATTGGCCAATAAAATGCAGGCGACGCTGCCCATGCAAAAGATGATGAACGAGCTGAAGCTGCAGGAGCCGGCGCAGGCGCAACACATCATGCAACAGATGCAAGCAGCCGCCGCAATGTCGGCAGCAATGCAACAGCAACAGCAGGCAGCTGCCGCTCAAGCTGCTGCCGTACAACAGGCGCAGGCACAGGCTCAAGCTCAGGCCAGCCAGCACCAGCAGGCGCAGCATCAACAGCAACAGCATCAACAGGTGCATCAGCATCAGCAGGCCCAACAGCAGGCGCAGGCGCAGGCACAGGCACAAGCGCAGGCGCAGTTGCTGCATCATCAGAATATGTTGCTGACGTCGCCCGGTTTGCCGCCGCAACACGCAATCAGTCTGCCGGCAGCAGTCACCCCAAGTGGCATCCAATCGGTTGCAGGCAATCCAACGGTAGCGGGCAGCACTCCGGGCAGCAACGAGAAGAAGCCAATGATGATGCCGGTGCTGGGTGGTGCCCACGCACCAAATGCAATGCGCAGTCTGCATCAGCATATGTCGCCCACGGTTTACGAGATGGCCGCACTCACCCAAGATCTGGACACGCACGATATAACAACGAAAATTAAGGAGGCTCTGCTCGCCAACAATATTGGCCAGAAGATCTTTGGCGAGGCGGTGCTGGGTCTGTCGCAGGGCTCCGTCTCGGAGCTGCTCAGCAAACCGAAGCCGTGGCACATGCTCTCGATCAAGGGTCGTGAACCGTTCATTCGCATGCAGCTGTGGCTGAGCGATGCCAACAATGTGGAGCGTCTGCAGCTGCTGAAGAACGAGCGGAGGGAGGCGAGCAAGCGGCGACGCAGCACTGGCCCCAACCAGCAGGACAACAGCAGCGATACGTCCAGCAATGATACGAATGATTTCTATACGAGCAGCCCGGGACCGGGCTCTGTCGGTTCTTCGGTGGGCGGTGCACCGCCCAGCAAGAAGCAGCGTGTCCTCTTCTCCGAGGAGCAAAAGGAGGCGCTGCGTTTGGCATTTGCGCTGGATCCGTATCCGAATGTCGGCACCATTGAGTTTCTGGCCAACGAGCTGAGCTTAGCGACGCGCACCATCACCAACTGGTTCCACAATCATCGCATGCGGCTCAAGCAGCAGGTACCCCATGGCCAGCCAGGCCAGGACAATCCCATACCCAGTCGCGAGAACACAAATGCAACGCCCTTCGATCCCGTCCAGTTTCGCATACTGCTGCAGCAGCGTCTCGTCGAGCTGCACAAGGAACGCATGGGCTTGAGTGGTGCGCCCATTCCCTACCCACCGTATTTCGCTGCTGCTGCACTGCTCGGTCGCAGCCTGGCCGGCATACCGGGTGCGGCGGCTGCTGCCGGTGCAGCGGCAGCTGCGGCTGCCGCAGTGGGTGCCGCCGGCGGCGATGAGCTCCAGGCACTAAATCAAGCATTCAAGGAGCAGATGAGCGGCTTGGATTTATCAATGCCAACGCTGAAGCGCGAGCGCAGCGATGACTATCAGGATGAGCTCGAGCTGGACGCCAGCGGACACAACATGAGCGACAACGAGTCCATCGAGGGTGGCAGCCACGAGCCGGAGCACACACCCATCACCGAATACGAGAAGGCGCTGCAGAAATCGGCGCTCGCTTCGGCTGCGGCCGCTGCTGCATATATGAGCAATGCGGCGCGCAGTTCGCGTCGCAAGCCGGCGGCACCGCAGTGGGTCAATCCGGCGGGTGCCAGCACACCGACAGCGGCTGGTGTTGTCGCGAGCAACGCTGGCGTCGACATCGGCAGCAGCAGCAGCAGCGAGCGGATCATCAACGGTGTCTGCGTCATGCAAGGCTCCGACTACAATCGCGATGAGAGCGACAGCATCAAAGGTGGCGGCGGCGACTCCAATGCTGCCGATGCCGAGCACGACGATCACGCCCAGCTGGAGATTGACCAGCGTTTCATGGAGCCCGAGGTGCGCATCAAGCAGGAAGAGGACGACGAGGACGAACAAGCCCAGCAGCAGCAAAAGCAGCAGTTAGACGATGCAACGCCTCTCGACAGCGATGCCGAGAAGCAGCTCAACGTGATCAATGAGGAGAAGTTGCGTTTGGTGCGCGTGCGGCGCCTCAGCAGCAATGGCGATGCCGACGAGCACTGCGCTGCTGTACAGCAGGCGACGACAGCCGGTGCGGCAGCGTCGCCGGCAGCAACATCATGGAACTACTAAGCTTGGAACTGGAACTGCAACTGAACCGGAAACGGGAACTGGAACTGGTAACCAGCAGCTGGCGTGTGCAATGTTGAAGACGATTTCTTGTGATTAAGTTTGGCAGCGGCCCCAGAAGAAAAATCTTTAGCCACTGGCTAATTACGTATCTATATATAAATATTATATATACATACACATAAATGATTGATATATATACACATATATTTATATATATATATATATATATATATAATATATATATATATATATATGTATATGTATATTTATCTATATATACATAGCACATATACATACATATGCATAAATCATATATATATATATATATAAAACTAGTTTCTAGTGCACTAAAGTTTTTTTTTTTTTTTTTTATATAAATAGTTGTAGCTAAAAAGTTTAGAGACGCTATGCGAAGCGCAGCAGCGATAGAGCAGCGCAAAAGTATTAAATTGTTGGCTTTAAACTTGCCACATACCCACTACCACAAAAACACAAAACAAAAACAAAAACAAAAAAAATAATAATAATAAATAAATAAAACGCCCCCGCCCCCTTAATCTCCGCCGCGACATCTCTACCTAAACAAAAAAAAAAAAACAAAAAACTACCAAAAGCCAAATCTGTTAAGGCGCAGATTTTTTTGATTTCTTTACGACTTAAAGACTGTAAGCAAATGGCGGTAGAATTTTATTATTATTATTATACTTATTATTATAATGATTAATAACTTTTTTTCTGCATTGTTAAGTGTATATAGAAAAACAATAAATATATATAATAATATAAACATAGAAACTCAAGGCCGATTTGTAAATAGCTAATTGTAGATGTTAACGGCAAAGCTGAGCAAACAAGGTCTTTTCATTTTCCAACAAAACACAAACAAACAAACAAACAAACAAAAACTATTATTATAATTCTACTCTTCGATATGTCTTATTATTATATCAAATTTTTTTTTTTTTTTTTTTTGTGTTGCACAAAAGTTTTAACTATCTTTTGATCTCAAGCAGCAACAACTCAACACAACACACACACACACACAGAACTACAAAATAAATGCATACCTAAACAAAAATCACATGAAAACTCAAAACAAACAACAAGGCGAACCCAAAGTAAAAGATAGTTAAAAGTAACCTTATACATAAATGAGAATCCTTTTATTTAATTTTTTTTTTTCTTGTTTTAATTTTTCGTGAGAAATAAACCACTTCCCCCAATTCCCCGAAGAAGGAAAAAACGAAATATTAACTAAATACAATAAATTTTGTAAATTTTGAATTTACGTATAAACTTATAATGCAAATTAATTATTATGTACAACACAATATAGCAAAATAAATGCAAAGTGCACTAAATTATTATTTATAATAATAAAAATAATAATATATAAATAATAAATATATGTAGTAAGCATTATGCAGTTTATCAACATAATATAACAGTACTTTAAATTCGCATTACAAATAGCATAAATTTTTTTTGTGAATTTAAATATTGCAAAAATGAAAAAGAAAAAGAATACTAAAAATAGACACCCGCATATCGTACTAAAGAAATTCACAGATTAAATAATAAAATTAAAATTAAAAATAAAGTAAACAATTATATCTAAGTGAGCCAATTTTTTTGCATAGCACCTAAGTTTAAATCATAAACATAAAAAACAAAAAAAAAAAACACTGTTTTTCTATCAATAAGCAAAACGTAAATGAAAAAAGAATCCATCATCAAAATTTTAAATAATTAAATACACATTTTTTCGCTAGGTTAACGTTTAAGCTAAACGAAATCTTTAAAAATAGCGAAAAAGTTAAGACAAAAACACAAACAAAAAAAATACAAGAAAAAACCCACACGCATCCAAAAAAAAAAAAATAACGTCAAACATTTTTGCATAGGCCCAAACTTTGCCGCGTTATAATTATATAAATTTAAAAGAAAAAATTTAAAAAAAAAAATGAAATAAATTAAAAAAATATAAAACTTACCAAACACATTTCAATACCTAAAACAATAAAATTTGCGTCTTCAAATTTAAAACAAATATATTACAAATTCTAGAAGAGATAAATTTTTATTATTTTCAAAGAAAAGAAAAAATATGCAAAACAAATTTTGTTGCCGCTGTCAACAAATTTGTTGAAAATTATTTAAATTTAATTTAATTTTTTTTTTTATTTGAAATGTATTTAGTTTTTAAAGTTAACGTGTTAAATACTTTGCATTTTCATACGCTTTAGCTAAATAATATTTACAAATATAATCAAATAAATATTTATGCATAATATTAACACCCATGTCTATATATGTATATATATATATGTATATATACATAATATATTTTATATATTTATATATATATATATACATATATACATGATATATATATAATATACAAAATATGAAATAATGAGATATGTTTAAAGTTGAACGTAATGTGTTGAGAGAGATCACACAAAAATAAATGATGGCAACATTTAGTTATAATTATTTTTTAAATCGACTATTTTTTTCGTATTGTAATAATTATGATCAATTTTTTTTATTATTATTATTATATTATGATTATTATTGTAATAAAGATAAAAACAAACAAAACATACCAATAATACATGAACATAAATGAAACTTTATCAAATAAAAATGTTTTCTTAAACAAAAAAAAAAAAAAACAACCCCATCGAAATTCCTTTTTAATTTTACACCAAAACATTCCTTATTAGCAAATATATATGTATATGTGAGTATATATAAATACATATATATATATATATATATACAAATTTTAGGGCCTTTTAATTTCCATGTTCTGATGTGTCCAATGCCACCCTATGAGGAGCATGCGATATGCAAATGAAATGCTGCTGAGGAACTACAGCACTCGCAAAATATTTTAACATAACCCTACATTAGACCACCCACACCACCCCCTCCCTCCCCCGCCCCGCCCCAAAAACATACACGCACCTAGGCCAAGGGGGAACCACCTTAGCTCATTTGCGGAGCGTTTTGTGAGTAGTCAATTGAAAAGAAAAGGACATACTCTCAAATGCTTGATCTATAATTTGATACGTTGCAAGAGAGATATCCTCACAGCAAAGCGAATGAATATGAATATATATAGAGTTACATACGAGTATATTAACAATATACGGTGCTAGCCAAGTTTACATAACAATAAACATAAAACTAAACACAGCTGCAGATCAGATACAAGTTTAAAGATACATTATAGTACACTTAAATATAGTCAAGTAGGCAGTGAAATTGTTTGCATAGATCCCGTAGCGTTGAAATTTATAGACATACTTATTGACATTACGCATATAATAATGAATTCAATGCAAATCAAAAAGTAATCGAAATGATAATGAGAAATACTCGTCAATGAAAAATATATGGAAAATTATACGTAATTAATATTACTTGCAAGCGAAGGCATACGAATAAACGCCAGTAAAAAAGCGAAAAAAAATAATTAAAGAAGTCAAATAAATATATATATGCATATATATATATATATATATATATATATATATATATATATACATATTATCTAGCTATATTTGTAAATATAAAAAATAATATGCGAGTATTTGTATTTGTATTTGTATTTGACAGAGCAAAACGTAAACAAAATCAAACACAAATTGCATAAGAAATTATCCTTCCAATTCTAAACGAAAAAAACAGCGTACATAAGAAGAAGAAATGCCGATGAAATAAAATAATACTTGAAAGCAAACAATTTTTTTTATCAAAGATTAATTTTACATACTTACATATATATATAAACGTATGTGTTAAGCTGTGTGAATAGAAATGAATTTAAGCCCACGGTGATATACAGTCTTTTATACATATACACACACGAGCCCCCCCACACACACACACACACACACACACACACATCTACACATCCACAAACAATAAACAATAAACAAAACAAAAAAGAAAACAATTTTTTTTTCTTAGATTTTGCCAAGTAACTGATGATGATGTTTTTATTTATAAATAGAAAAAAGAAATACGAAATGTACATAAAATAGTGGAAATGACAGTAAATTAAAAAGAAAATATAAACAATTAAAAAACGTAAATATTTATATATATATAAAAATAATTAAGTTCACATCGGAAAACAGACCATATCAACATTATATATATATATATATATATATATGTGTGTGTATATGTGTGTATATATATATATATTGTGTTGCTATATGCAGTTATTTTAGCAATACACATACAGACACATGCATACACAACGTATTTTAGATCCACAAAGCAGTTACACGCACACACACACACGCACACACACACACACACACGCACACAGAGTACATACTTGCATATATAGCCATATATGTATGTAGTACACACAAGAACTATTGAACTTGAACCAAAAGCCACAGTTAACACCCACACACACACTCACACACACACACACAGACTAACTCATCTACAGCTAAAAGAATTACAGAAAAATCTCTTCAGTTTGCAGATATTTTAGAAATTCAACAGAAGCAAAGAAACCAACACCGTTTTCAGTTTCAAATCCGCCCAGTAATGAACAAAAATTAACCCTGAGTAAACAAAAAAAAAAAAAAAAGCAAAAACTGATTAAGCAAATGAAATAAAAGAAACCAATTAAAATAAATGAATAAATAAATAAAGCAGCAAAAATATCAAAAATTATAAATATATTTATATATATATAACTGAATAAAAGGAAATGAATGAAATCGAAAATTAGCTTAGTGGCCTAAACTAAAGCACTCGACACTTTGGCAACAATATTCGACTCGAAATAATTTTTTAAATTTAAGAAATTTAAAAATGAAACGAAATATACAATAAAAAAAATGCATTACGTAATTAAATAAAGCAACAATTTTTTTCTAGCATTTCTTGTAAAAATTGTTGCAAGCATACAATTAAATTATAAACAATTTTTTTGTTAACTTAAGAATCTGTTTTTATATATAGTACTTATATATATAAATATATATATGTATATATATATATATATATATATATATATATTTATATATATACATATACATATACATATACATATATCTACATTGTGTTAATTTGTAAATTAACATTTTCATTCGAAAAATGCAATTTTCAAAAACTTTGCGCAAATATAGATATAAATTATTGAAGCAAATACTAAATA